GGCGGCGCCGCGATGTTGCGCCAGGAGCACGCGCGTAGGCTCGGAGGGAGCTTCCTGGCCTGCCGTGCTGCCGCCCGGGGTGCTGGCGACGCGAGGGCCGCGGCACGCGCGAGGGGCGCGCTGCAAGCGAGGCACGCCGGAGGTGAGCCTCGCCAGCCAGGCCTCCTCCCGGGGCAACGATAGGGGGGATAGGTACCGAGGGGGGATGCATCCACCCCCCATCGCCCCCCGATCGCCGACGGGGGGCCCGAACAGCCCCAGCCTGCACGGGAAGGTGCGGAGATTCGCTATCGGGGGCCTGTCGCCGATCTATCGGCGACCCTGACTCCAGATCCGCCCTACTTTGTTTTTTTTGTCCACTCAAAATTGCGTCGGAAATCCACCTATAAGAGGCCGAAAAAGCAGGGCGGAAATTTCTGCACCCAACATACAGTAGGGCGGAAATCCACAGAAGTAGGGCGGAAACAGTAAGAGAAAAGTCGGGCGGAAATTGGCATCAGCGGGGCTTGAAAAGTAGGGCGGACTTTCCAAGCCCTACCTACGAATTCCCCCAAGGTAGGGCGGATCCGGAGCCAGGGGATGCATCGCCGCTTCCAGGCCGAGGCATCTCCCCCCTGTGCCATAGGCCTCCCCTGCCGTCGCGCGCCCCCCATGCTCGGCAGCCGCGCGGGCGGCGCGAGAGGTGCGCCACCAGGCGGGCGGGCACGCTGCGGGCGCGCGCGCGGGCGGCTGCGCCCGCCGCACGCGGCGCGCCGCGAGCGAGCGGCACGGGGGATGGCGCCGCCCTGGGGCACGTGCACTCCCCGAGGTGCAACATCGCGCAGCATTAAGTCGGGCACGTCCCTCAACAGGAGGAAGAGTCACACCTCGTCCCCCAAAAGATAAGCCGGGGACGACGTTTCGACTCGGTTTTTGTTATATGCGAGAGTATGTGTTGACCGTCTTCAGGCTTTCGTCCAAGATCCGCCCGTAGGGGGGCATGCCCGGCCGAAGCGCAGCAAGTCGCAACGCCGCGCAGTGCCACGCGGGAGCGGCAACACCTCGGACAGAGCACAGCTCGGAAGCCACATCCACAAGAGCCAGGGCGCCGCGAGAGAGGCACCACCTCGCGGGGCAAACGACGACAGGGGGCCACCCTGTACGATCCGATCCCTCTGCTGCATGCTTCGAGCCGCACCGCTCTGTGGCGGCCCCGGGGCCCGAAGCCGGGCGAAGGCGCCCAGCGTGAAGAGGCTGCAGCGCCCGGGTCTCGGGGCCGCGCGAGGCGCGAGGACCCCTGAGGTCCGACGCTGCCAGGAAAAAGAAGAGTGCAGCGTCGCAAAACCAGCTCGCGACCGCAGCCCTGGGCCGCCCCCTCTTCCTGCGCCACCCCTCGAGCCGCATCGCTCTGCGCGGGCCTCGCGAGGCCAGCAAAAAAGGAGGGCGCGAGAACGCACGGCTCGAAAGAACCTTGGCACGCCAGGGCCTCCGGGCGCAGGCGGCGTGAGAGCCCCTCCTCCCTCCTCCCTCCTCCCTCCTCCCTCCTCTCCCTCCTCCCTCCTCCTCCCTCCTCCTCCTCCCTCCTCCTCCTCCCTCCTCCCTCCTCCTCCTCCCTCCTCCTCCCTCCTCCTCCTCCTCCTCCCTCCTCCCTCCTCTCCCTCCTCCTCCTCCTCCTCCTCCTCCTCCTCCTCCTCCTCCTCCTCCTCTCCTCCTGCCCCTGCTCCTCCCTCCTCCTCCTCCTCCTCCTCCTCCTCCTCCTCCTCCTCCTCCCTCCTCCTCCCCCGCCTGGCCGCGCGCGGCCCCGCCGCCCCCGGAGGCGCCCGGGCCGCGCTGAGCGGCGGCCCGGCGCCGCCGGCGCCCCTGCCCAGCAGCGTGGTGGACCGCGGCACCGTCGCGGCGCACGTGCGGGAGGGGCCCGCCGCGGGCTCGGCCAGAGGAGGGAGGAGGGAGAGAGAGGAGGAGGAGAGAGGAGAGAGGAGGAGAGGAGAGAGGAGAGAGGAGGAGGAGGAGGAAGGAGGAGGAGGAGGAGGAGGAGGAGGAGGAGGAGGAGGAGGAGAGGAGGAGGAGCAGGAGGAGCAGGAGGAGCAGGAGGAGCAGGAGGAGCAGGAGGAGCAGGAGAGGGAGGAGGAGGAGGAGGAGGAGGAGGAGGAGGGAGGAGGAGGAGGAGGAGGAGGAGGAGGAGGGAGGAGGAGGAGGAGGAGGAGGAGGGAGGAGGAGGAGGGAGGAGGAGGAGGGAGGAGGAGGAGGAGGAGGAGGAGGAGGAGGAGGGAGGAGAGGAGGAGGTGGAGGAAGAGGAGGAGCGCTGGCGGACGCCGGGGTGGGTCCCTGAGTTCGGACCCGCTGAACTTTGGAAGATGTCGCAAGCAGGGCGGGGATGTCCACCCCGCTTCTCAAGCTTCTTTGATGTCCCTTTGCCGTCGCTGTTTCCTCCATACGTTTTGCGGAACTGCTTTCTGAGGCGGACACCTCCGCCCTACTTCTTCGCATCGCTGTGGGTGCGTGTCCGACATAGCTGCAAGTCGGAAAATCAACCAGAGTATGGCGGATCCGAAGTCAGGGGGGTCCCTGAGATCCAGGCGCTGCATTTTTTGGCACGCTGGGCGCCTTCGCCCGTCTTCGGGCCTTGGGGCCAGCAAGCAGCACGGGCCGATGCGGCTCCGGACGTGGCGCAGATGGAGGGCGCCGTTCGTGGTGTTTCGCGGTGTGGCAATTTTGCTGCCGCGTCGGATCTCAGGGGCTATAGGGTTTGGAGAGGAGGGCCGCGGCTGGTGTCTTGGCTCGCGCCTGGTCCCCGATATCCTCCCCGAGAAACTGGGCGCTCTGAAAATTTGAGAGCTGAGGCCCGGGGGTGCACGCCACCGGGGGGGGGCTGTTGGGACGCCCCCCTCGTATGTCCCCGAGCCTGGTGCTGTGCAACAAAAGCCGTAAACAAAAATCGAGGGGAGAAGGATCGAGGAGGAGGAGGAGGAGGAAGAGGAGGAGGAGGAGGAGGAGGAGAAGGATCGAGGAGGAGGAGGAGGAGGAGGAGCAGGAGGAGGAGGAGGAGGAAGACAATCGAGGAGGGTACAACATCGATTTGCCGCGTGCAGCCACGCGCAGGCTGCGGACATGGCCGCGCCGTATACAAAGAGATCAGGACGGGCGTCTTCTAGCCGGCTGCGGCCTCGGCGGGCCCTCGCTGGGCCTCGGGACCGTCAAAAAACGATCCGGGAGGAATATAGGGGAACAAAAAGCGGCATAAACGTAAAAAATCTGAGGTCCGCGCGGTTTTCTCGGATCGGCGCTGGGGCCCCCCTGGCGGCGCCTCCGGCGCCGCCCCTGGCGCGCTCCGCGCGCCAGGGAGGGGGGTCCAGCGCCGATCCGAGAAATCCGCGCGGACCTCCGAGTTTTTATGTTTATGTAATTTTATGTTCCCCTAGAATAACCGGTCCCCGGGAAAGGGTCGGGACTTCCAGGGTCCCCGCATGGAAAAGAGCGGGACGTCGCACGCCTGGGGAAGCGGCGGAAGGAAACCCAGGTAGGGTCGCGTCGTAGAAAGGAGAGGTCTCGGCGGCACGTCTCCGGGGGGCCCCTCGCCAGGACCCCCCGCGGGGACTGCCAGGGAACGGCTCCTGTGGAAGGGGGCGAGACTTCCGGGGACCCCGCATTGAAAAAGTCAGGCCAACGTATGTCTGGGAACGCGGGGCGTCAGCTTTTTCGGATTCCGGGGTTCCGGAGTAATTATACGGGGCCCAGCAATATACACCACCACCATCTCCTCCCCCCCCCTTTCCTCTCCAAGGAGAGAGAATTGGGAGAGGAGGGCGGAGGAGGGAGGGGGAATGGAGGCGGTGGTGGCTTGGGGCCCGCAGGGTGGGCCAATTGGTCGCCCCCCGCGCCGGGAGGAGCTGGGCAAGCCGGCTGCAGTCGCTAACCGCGCCCAGATAATTCCCCCCCCCCCTATTGCTAGGGGCCGTCCAGAAAGGAGGCCCTGACTCCGGATCCGCCCTACTTTGGGGAAATTCGTAAGTATAGGGCTTGGAATTTCCGCCTTACGTTTCAAGCCCCGCTGATGCCAATTTCCGCCCCTCTTGCTGCTTCCGCCCTACTTCTGTGGATTTCCGCCCTACTGTATGTTGGGTGCAGAAATTTCCGCCCTGCTTTTCGGCCTCTTATAGGTGGATTTCCGATGCAATTTCAAGTTGGAAAAAAAGCCAAAGTAGGGCGGATCCAGAGTTGGGCTCTGGAAGCGACAGGGCCGTTTTCTTACCGGTTCCGTTTTGCCGGTTCTGACGCCGTTGTTTTTACCGGCTCCGTCGCCGTTTTTTGACCGGTTCCGGCTCCGGCTCCAGTCCTGGAGCCGTTTTTGTTTGCCGTTTCCGGTCGCCGTTTTTTCGCCGTTTCCATTTTCAAGCGGCATTTTTCTGGAAAGCGGTGAAAAAACGGCCCTGCCGTTCCCGGGGCCCACACAGCCCTCGGGCCTGGTCGTTCCTTCTCGCAGCTCTTGGCTGCCCTGCTGCGCCGGGCCTTCAGACGCGACGCGCGCCGTGTTCCAAGCGTCCGTGTTGGCACGCTGCGTGTCGGGGAGCGGGTCTGGCCTGCTCGTCGGCGAACGAAGCAGACCCCCTCGCGTTGTGAAAAAATCACGACGGGAGGTTTTTCGCTATTTTCGGCCTCCAGGGGCCCTTACCGGGTCTCGGGACCGCCAAAAAACGACTCAGAACGAAAACCAGTCCCGGGGAAGGGGTCCAGACCTCTGGGGGTCGCGTCATGAAAAAATCATGACGTCGGGGATCTGGGGAAGCAGAACGTGTTGGCCCTCGTTTGGGCGAACATCTCGCGCCAAGCGTGCGTGTTCAATCTTCTTGCTGAGCTCCGTGCCAACACGCTACGGGTTGCGCGTTGCGTATTGGGGCGGCTACGATTGTCCTGAGTCGTTGTTTGACGGTTCTGGGGCCAGACGAGGGCTCCCAGAGGCCGAAAATCGCCCAGCACCTTCCGTTTTGTTTAGTTTTCCACGTGCTTTTCGCAACGAGTGGAGGCCTGGGTTAGCCTGAACCAGACCAGCTGAAGGGAAATTGTGGCTCCGTGGCGCTGGCTGCCGGCATGTTTCGAGACACACAGCTTTGCAGCGGATCCTCCGCCGGCTGCGCGTTCGCCCGCAGTGATTTGCGTCTGTCCTGAAGACTGGGTCCGCACTTTTTTGTCGCGGACCCGGCGATCGCGCAAGTCGGTCGAGCAGCTTAGGAGCGTTGGTCGGCGAATTAATTTGGCACTGACTGGGTCGACACGCCCTGCCATTGTTGACTTGCTTGTCCAGGGAGGGCTGCCGTCTTCTGAGGTTCCCAGGGCGTCGCGCGCATGTGGTGATGTCGCGGCTGAGTCAGATTGGTTTCAGCAGACAGGGGTTCCGTCCGAAGATGGGAGACATGGCACACGCGATCGGCAGGGCTGCTAGGGCAGCCGAGGTCTGGCTGGAGGACGACGACTCCGACGAGAGATGGGATCAGGTCAGCTGCGGCTGGGAAGATGTTGCCCGCTGATGTCTGTCTTCAGTTCGAAGCAGCTGCCTGGAATATCATTCTGCACAGGGGCAGGGGAAAGACGTGGTGGGCATGCCGGCATGAAGAGTTGCGTCAATAGGGCGTGACGGGCCCCGACATGTGCCTTGCCAGGAAACAGCGGAAAACGATGTGATGGAGACGTCCCTGGAAACCCGCCCTTCCTTCCCCCACTCCGTCCAGGGACACGATATATTCAACGACATTATGGGGTTGGAGCAAGGTGCAGGGGGCTGGGGCGTCGCCGAGCCGTTTGGGGCCCGGGAGGACGATCACGTCGGCGGCGACGATGACGAGGAGCCATCGGCATGACGGCATGACGACTTGTTCCTCGGTTTCAGCCGTGTTTTGACAATTGCCCCCTGGCCTATCCATTGACGCTCCGTCACTGTCCCCGTCCTTACTCCTCCTCATCCTTGTCCTCGTGCTGTTTGGGTCTCGTTGCTGGTTGCAAGGTCTTGGTTGGTTGCCTGGGCACCATGTCCGTGCTCTATAGACTGCTTGGCATTTGTGGCATGGGGCTGGCCTCGTGATGTGTGTGTAGGGGGAATTAAGCAACTCCTCATCCTTGCCATCGTCGTTCGCCATCACCATCAACATGCCCACTATACATCATGATCATGGTCATCTTCATCATCCTCCTCCTCGTCCTCCTCCTCTTTATCATCATCATAATCATAATCATGATCATCGTAATGACCATCATCATTAGCAGCATCAGCATCATAATCATCGTCATCATCAGTTTTATCATCATCATCATCACCATAACCACAATCATGGATATCATCATCATCATCAGCAGCATCATCAGCATGTTCATCCTCACCATCATCATCATCATCATCATCATCAGCATCATCGTAATCGTATTTACCCTTATCACCATCATCATCATAACCTTTATCATCATCACCTTTATCACCATCAGCATCCTCATCATAATCTTCATCGCCACCGCCATCGACATCGTCAGAATGGTCATCATCATTACCATCGTCGTCGCATCATAACCATCATCATCATCACAAGCATCACCACCATCATCATTACCATCCATCATCACCCTCCTAATCGCCATCATCACCATCATGATGATGATGATGATCATCATCTTCATCATCATTATCATCATCATCATGATCATCATCATCATCATCATCACTACCACTATCATCATCAGCATTAGCATCATCACCATCAGCATCATCACCATCAGCATCAGCATCAGCATCAGCATCAGCAGCATCAGCATCAGCATCAGCATCAGCATCAGCATCAGCATCAGCATCAGCATCATCATCATCATCATCATCATCATCATTATCATCATCGCCATCATCGCCATCATCGCCATCATGGCAATCATCATCATCACCCTATGCCGATGTTTGTATCGTCCTGCTCTGCAATTCAAGCACAATCTATTTCAACGGCCGCTTCGTGGTGTGGGCGAACCTGTTCGGCGGATGTCCGGGAGGTCCCGACCCTTTCCCACTGGGGCAGTTTTTCGTCGCGGATCCGTTTGTAGTTGCCTTCCGGGCCCGACAGCGGTGCCCAAGGGCCGAAAGTTCGTTTCGGTCATATCTATAGGGTCTCCAGTGGACGTCCGGGACGACCCGGGCACCCCGGGAACACCCTCGACGAGGCGCACCTGCTTCAGGGCATGACGACCGTCGGAAGCAACGAGGACCCCCGAAAATTTAGGAAGTCAGATCGCCAGCGAAGAGGTGATCCTGCAGCTCGAGCCGGGAGAGGCGCCCTTGGAGTGCCGGTGCCAGCCGCCGGCTCCCCCGCGCGGGCCGGGCGGCGCCCAGGAGAGCGGGGCCCCGGGCGGAGGGCCCTCGCGCGAGGCGGCCTGGGGTCAGGCCGCACCCCCTGGAGCTTGGCCGATTGCATTTCCGCCATGAAGCAAGCCCAGATATCCGACGTCATGTTTTGTTGTTTCTCCCAACCACCCTGTGGTGTTGGGTCCTCGTTT